TTGTATGCAAAATTTGTATCATATTTCAGTGATCCATGAAAAGAGCCCAATCAAGGGACGTAACTCTAGATCATGTAGATAGTTGCATTAAATCTCAGATTTCAAGTTCAAACCCAGTGAAAAACTCATAGTGAGAAAGCTCATGGCCATTGGCAGTTTCCAGTTTTTATTAGAGATAAAACACTGAAGTATTGTAATACATGTATAAAATATTTAATAATATAATAAATTATGAATACCATAAAAATAATTACATGTAGCAACCACTTGTACAAGGCAGAATTGTGTATTTTTGAGGGTATGCATTTTAACCACAATGAACCCCAATGAACCACAAGGAAACCACAATGAACCACAAGGAAACCACAATGAACCACAAAGAACCTCTTATTTAATTTTAATGAATCTAGATATGGTTTATATGCATTTTTTAGTCATTTGAGTCATACAGGTGACCTATTTCTATCTGTTATAGTCCGACGTTGTGCTTCCTGTCCATCTGTTTCCTAATCTTTTGAACCATTTCAGCTTCTTTTCTTGAACAGCTTATCCAATTTCAACCAATTTTGGCACAAAGCATCTACAGTAAAACTCGGTTAAAGCGAAGTCACCAGGACCTATAAAATAATTTCGCTATATCCATAATTCGTTATATCCGTATAAGGAATATGTTAAATTCACATAGCTGGGGATCCAAGATAACTTCGCTATATCCGTGAATTCTCTATATCCGTGTTCGTACTAAACGAGTTTTACTGTATAGGTAAAGGGGAACAAAAAGATTTGGATTTCAAAATCTGAGTGAAGATGTATGTTAAACAGTATACCGTATAAGAGGAAATTTTAGCGAGACGCAAATTTAGCGATTTCTACCTAAAAACTGGTATTTTATTTTTAGCGAGAAGTAATTTTAGCGATTTTAAAATGCTACTTAAAGAAACTATTACAATTAGCGGTATTCAATTTTAGCGATGTCAGCACCCTTGCTAATAATGCAAAAATTAAATCCTCGCTAAAAATTCTACTTATACGGTATATTACATCCACTGAATATCTTCTTTATGCTCCCCTTTACCTATAGATGCTTTGTGCCAACATTGGTTGAAATTGGATAAGCTGTTCAAGAAAAGAAACTGAAATGGTTCAAAAGATTAGGAAACAGACAGACAGGAAGCACAATGTCGGACTATAACAGATAGAAATAGGTCACCTGTATGACTCAAATGACTAAAAAATGCATATAAACCATATCTAGATTCATTAAAATTAAATAAGAGGTTCATTGTGGTTCATTGTGGTGTCCTTTTGGTTCATTGGGGTTCATTGTGGTTCCTTGTGGTTCCTTGTGGTTAAAAGACATACAGTAAAACTTCTCTAAACCGGCCAGCTGCTGGACTGAATAAAATGGCCGGACTAGTGGGGTGGCCGGTTTCCCGAGAATCTAACATACTGAAGAATTGCAGAACTAATATGTGACAGATGCTAGAAAAAATATATAATTAGTGTCTATCATAATTATCTGTCAACATGTTATTAATTATCGGCAGAAAAGTAATGTATTCTTAAGGTCTAAAAAATAAATTATTATTAGTGAGGATAAATTCGTCATACATGTTGATTTTTATAAAAAAAATTAAAAATAAAACAGAAAAAAAACATAAAAAGTTACTTTATTAACAATAAGCGAAGAAATAAACCAGACCCTTTACCTTAACTAGACTCTATACAGTATACTGCATGTATCTGTCTATCGCTTACGTCATTATTAAAAAACTTGTTTTTACTTCAGTGAAAAGTAAATAATTAAAACATTTCTGAGCAATTCTTCTGATAATTTAATTAAAAAATGTATATTTTGGAAACATTTTACTCGTATTTTTTTTTACCTTAGCATTATGTAACTGTATCCAATTTTAAGGCCACTTATGTGCATTTAAAAAGATGATGCAATATGGCGTGCGATAATTTGTTGATTCATTCTGTGATTTAAATTTATTAGTTGCTTGATATTTTATAAATTCAAGTTTAATGTTTTTTTAATAATAATTATGTACACAACTTAGACCGGCCATTTACATAGTCTGGCATGATGACTACCCCTTCAACACGGTTAAACAATAGAAAACCCTATGAGACCATATGGCATATTCAGTTTTCACACCTCTGACTTATGGTGGGTAGGCTATTTTTCACACCTTTGGCCGGTCATTATTACCCCTCCGGCCAATGACAGTTAATTTCTTGCAATAAAAAAGTGGCCGGTATGATGAGGGGAAATTTCCCATGTTTCTTAACTTTTGTTCTTAGAAAAGTGGCCGGTGTCCGGTTTTCAGGGGTGGCCGGTTTTATGAGACTTTATGTGTAAAGAAATGTTAAGAATTTCGCCGGGACTTATAAATTTGGCCGATGTTCAGGGAGAGCCGGTTTCCAGGGGGGCCGGTTTGGAGAAGTTTCACTGTACCTATTTTTGATATATAAAAAAAAACCTGTATACCTTAAACTTTTTGTCGATGCCTCTTCAAACTACATGATACATTTGGAGAGTAAAAGATTGGACTTAACTCAGTCACATATAAATGTATGGTTGCATTTTCAAAACAAAGTCTAGAAAGTTCTATTTTTTAATGAGGAGCCTTCTATCAACCCTTTATCTAATTGGCAAGAAATTTATCCTCTTTGCGAACTTGTGACTGCATGGTTACCTAAGAAAGTAATCTGATCAGATATATACATTTACAGGAAATTTTAAATGTGAATATCATTTTTTCTGAGTGAGAAAATTTAGTTTGAACAATATAGTCTTAAATCATTGAACTTTTCCCTTCCTATATGCAATGCCACAAAGAGCTCTTAGTGCAAGCTATGCTTTAATCACTCACTACCAGACCTTCATCAGTCTAGACGAACTCCAAAAACGGCGTTAACGGAAGTGAGAATTTCAGTCCAGAAAAGACTCCAAAAAACGAGTCCAACGCATGCGCAGTTATATAAAAAACGGTGAAAAATCGTGAAAAGTGGGCTCTTATAAAAAGTGTTTTTGCAAAAAATTGGATTACCTTACAATAATGTAAGTTCTCAGAAATAATTAATAATAAATGGTTTTAGAGAACGTATTTGTTAGAATTTTGATTTCATGTGCAAATAGTTTTTAATTTAAAGTCAAAGTTGACCAACTTCGAGGTTCAGCCAGACATCGTACAAGTAGGATACAAAATACAAATTAAACAGTCGTAATCTTATGAAAACATCTCTGTGGTTGATAATTTGTTTGTAGTGACTAAGTTAGTCATTTTAGAACTACTTTTACTGATTTTAGAAGTTTATTTTGTAAGTAAGGAACGCTGGCGAATTTTCAGTTCGAATTTCCTCTGTCTTTCATGTCTATCGTGTACGAATGAATTTCAGCATGTTTAGATCAGCAATGAGCAACTGCATTGTAAATACATCTTACCAATAATTAAAAAAGTAATGAATTGATGGTTTTAATCATAAATAAGAGTCGATCAGGTGACAGTTACATGAGAATCCATTCAGTTTCCACATTTCCTCCGAGGCTTTTTTGAAGAAAGTTCACGTTTCAAGTTAGATCAAATACAAAGAAAAATAAACGTTTGGGAATTAAATATATAATAAAAGGGAAAAATATGTAAAATTGAACAATGAAATATATATGTTGTAACTGTTAAACATTGACCGAATTTTTACCTATTTGTAATATTATTTCGTCATATAATCCTGTATGACATCTGAATATTGAAAGCGTTAGTTATCACCATCGCTATATACCTGATATTTTCACATATGAATAGATATAATCATGAAAACATTTTTAGAATTATAATCTATGGGTTTAAGAACTTAAAAGAAATCATTCTTTTAAAATTACGGTTAAAAAGTCTTCTCAAATCGAACCTGTTAATATCTCTGCTCCGCCGCCAAAATTGTGCGGTTTTTCATAAAAAAAAAAACGATATATAAGTGTCTTAGAAGTAAAATTTAAGCATCTTTATAGTAGGAATGGCATAAAATTTAAATCAAGGGGACAATAAATTAAGTTAGAAAATTAATTCTTACCGACTTTATTGAATCCCGGTGTCGTACGTATATCCCAAATCACTATTATGCAAGAATACAGAGCGATAAATAAGTCAATAACCACTTAATAATTTAATGGGTACAATTATTTATTCAACAAAAATTGAAATCCAGTCACAGTTTACTAAATACAGCCATTATTCAGTCGTATTTGTGGAGAAAGCGAACGACAATCCATCGTTTGTTTACATCGGAAGCCATTTTGCCGCAATGCATGACGGAGCCAAAGACTTCTTTTTTGGAGTTCACGCCGTTTTTGGAGTTCGTCTAGACTGTTCATTATCTGTTTTATACATTTGCTTGCTGTCACTGAGGTAGAGACATGCCCCATATTTAGATTATCATTAAGAGATCAAAATTGGATTATCTCTTGAAAGTACTCAAACACAAAGAAATCAGTATAAAAGCATGTCGTGTGAGGAGACGTTATTTTATGCTTTTTGATACCAGAGTGCTTTTCATGCATGAGTGGACAAACAGACCACAACTCATAATTCGACTTTTAAATTTAATTTTTTTAGATTTTTTTTTTTTGTATTTTCTTTACAAGAAATACCTTGATTAAGGTATTTGTAATACGTTGATAAAGCTAAATAGCTTAATCAAGCTATATACCTTTATCAGGGTATTGTGCTGGACCTGGTACATACGTAAGCTAGATGAATAGGACTGCACTCGTCCCAACAGTCAAACTGTAAAACACACTAATTGTACTGTATAAATTTAAGTTGCTGTGTATATGTCCAGTCTGAATATTCGTCATAGTTAAATACTTCATAAATGAAGCACTTAACTGAGACAAGACAGAACTGAAAGGATTGACATGTGACGAGGAAATTCGAACATGTTTGAAAAAATTATGTATTGGATATTCTGATTAATACAATAGTAAATAACTATGTTACCTTGCTCCAAAAATGTCTTTCTTAGCCAAATTGACGCCATTTAACACTTTTACTCTTAGCAGTCGGGTTGTTCCTGGGGGTTCACCCTGTTAAAAAAAGTGAATTTGGATTACAAAATGTTCCTGACTACAAAAAAAATATCAGACATCTCTTGAAAGAGATGCTTGCAATGACAGAATTACTTACAGGCATATATCTCAAACCAAACGTCCTCATCGAGGCCATGTCTGATTCTGTATTTAAAAGGAAAAAGTTTACGTTAGTTGTTGACAAAAAATTAGGGGCATGACCTATATTCCATTCTTGCCCAATACCCGGATGTTGTAATAACTTGAATGACGAACCCGCTTCTGTTCGTCTACGGAAACTGACGGAAATGACCGAGTGCTTACGATCCGTGAAATTCTGCCAAACAGTGAAAAATATTTACTTTTTTGCATACTTGAGAATATGTATTGATGTATGATGTTTCCCTTCATTTGATTTTCAATTCATTTCACTTTATTGACAATTACCATGTCGGCATACATGATTTTAATCATGTTAACATGGTTAATAGAATGGTGAAAACACTTTCATTTATCAAAAATTCACTTTCTTGAAAATGTAGAGTTGAAAATCGATCATAGGCCTATTTAAAAATATTTTAGGCACCGACACGAAAACTAGAGACTTATAATATTATAATTAGACCCTAAGTAGTAGTACGCGGGGAGGGGTGCAGGGAGCCCCAACCCCAACATTTTTTGCTGCAGTTAGGCTATTTGATACAGGCAAAAACGCTTATAAAATATAGACTACTATAAAGTAATAAGGTAGAGCAAGAGAAAAAATCCCCTAACCCTGAAATAAGATTTTCATGATGCTCATGTCATTTTGTGTGCATGTAAGTGGGTGGGGGTGTGTGAAAAACGCTGCTTCGGGGCTGAAAATGACTAAAGTTATAAGGAGTGTCAGGAGAGAGAGAGAGAGAGAGAGAGAGAGAGAGAGATGTTTGTAACTGAGTTAGTAATATAATTAATACGCCTAAAGCTATGATCAAAAAAAACTTCAGTTATAAAAGCTACCCTACAAGAAGTTACAGAATGTACAACATTGTACAAAGAAGTTATGCATGTTATATTAAACTATTGTCCAATCATGTATGCGTAAATTGCCCGAAATGCCTGAGAGAGAAAAAAAACATATGCAGCAATTTTACATCAGAAAATGTTTATATATATGGGTTAATATTTTGATTTGTTTCGAGTTTATTCTTAAGTCAATTTTCAGAATTTTCTAACATTGTTTCAAAATGGATAAAATACTTGAATATACAATATAATATATCCGTTGAATAAAATGTGGCTATAATATACCCACGATTTATTAATCAGATATATAATTTTTTAAGGGTGGCCTGATTAACTCCCCCTTTTCAAGTGCCTTTAGTTTGCATAAAATACACAATTTTGATAAAGTTTACAAACTATACACCACCTTTAGATATGAGAATAGCACAAGCGTTGAAAAGAATAAAAAAGATCAATGTTACAAATAAAAATTCAAGCGAAAACTTATTCCACATAAATTTTTTTCATCTCTTTTCGCAACTCATTGCAATCAATTCTGATGTTTATTGGATTTCAGTTTTCAGTTGAATTTGTTTACTATAATTACAAATTAAAGATTAAATTTTTGTCAGTTAAGAGTACTTGACCATAAAATGACAGAGGCGCGGATCCATGAATTTTTACCAGGGGGACCCAAGTCACATATGAAAAATGAAATTTTCCAACCCAGAAAATTGACAAGCTAATAAAAGCAACATTCATTTTCCAAGTGTTAAAAACATATTTCGGAGGGGGGGGGGGGGTAGTAATCGACTCTTAAACATCATACTCATTTTACTTTTTGAGGAAGGGTTTGCGTTTTCTTGGGGGAGGGAGCAATGTCTCTTTAATTTGTTAAAACATTTAATTACTCAAATTCCTTGTGGGCTTGGGGGCTCTAGATCTGTGCATGTGGCATGAGCTTCCCTTTCCTGTTCATTTTTTTTTTTACAGAAAGGCAAACACAGTAACTACACACTTTTCATCCAGAAATTAATTTGCATCAACTTTCTTAATCTACGTGCTCAGTTTCAGCAAGAACTTATTTACATGTTCTGTTATCACTTATTAGTGATTCCATATCTTAAACAGAACATCAAACAGTTCTTGGGTAAACTAAGCAATAAATAAAAAGACATTTTTAAAAGTTTTCAAATTTTTATATATAAGATTTTCTTCTTTTTTTTCACATAAAAATGAATATACACACACTCATAGAGTGAAAAAGAACATTTTCTGTTAACAGATTTAAGATGAAATAATGAACATGAATATGATAAAATGAGCACTTCCATTCATCTCTTACATAAAACTTTCACACACCTTTAACACATTATGAACATGAATTGCTGCCATCTGAAGTCCAATGAATATGAAATTGTGACATGTCAACTAGCGTCTATAAATGAGTAGTCCCTGTACATATGTACAAAATAAATAATTCACCAGTCACTTAGCACGTTCACTTCTTGGCTGCGGCCTTCTTGGGCTTTGCTGCTTTCTTGGCTTTAGGCTTAGCGGCTGCCTTCTTCTTGGCTGGAGATTTGGCGGCCTTCTTTGGTTTCTTCTCACCAGCAGCCTTGGGTTTCTTGGGAGACTTTGCCTTCTTTGCTTTGGGTTTTGCGGCTTTCTTCTCTCCTGCGGGTTTCTTTGCTGCAGCCTTCTTGGGTTTCTTAACGGCGGCTTTCTTGGGCTTTACTGCTTTCTTGGCTTTGGGTGCCTTGGCGGCTTTTTCTCCCAGCTTGAAGGATCCGGAGGCTCCGGTTCCCTTAGACTGCTTCAGAGTTCCGTTCTTGACTCCAGCTCTGAGGGCCATTCTCAAATGACGGCTAGCGGCCTCAGCATCAACTTTGTTGTTGGCGACAATGTACTTCAGAATGGCCTGTCTTGAGGATCCTCCCTTCTCTTTCAGAGCTGTAAGTGCTGCCTTGATCATGTCGGAGTATTTTGGATGAGTTGCAGGCTTCTTGGGCTTGGCAGCCTTCTTTGCCTTTGGTGTAGCGACGTCAGCATTAGACATTGTTGTTTTTTGAGTTACGAGATATCGTACGTCTATCCAACACAGAGAAAATTCGTGTAATGACGCCGTGTCGATCTGTGCGCTTTATATAGATCGAGCGCGGACGTCTGAGAAGGCACCCAACAGTGCGAGCTTGAATTCAAGAAAATGTCTACCGTGTTTCTATATTTGTGTTTCTTGCCTCAGTATATGGCCTATTTAACCTATTATTCAAAAAGCAATTTAACTTTGATGAACGTTAATCGAAAGTTAGATGTTTTGCCTACAAAATAAATACATTATTTTACAGTGACACCCCGAAAATAAATAGAAAATCGAATCGAAACGAGAAAATTTTGACTTGCAATACCACTTTGCGCTAGTTTGAAGATAAACGTTTAAAAAATATGACTGAATCGAGTAGATTTTAATTAATAAAATGAATAACCCATCATTATTCTATCATACTCTGCAATATCTAGACCTACAACACTAAAATACGATATATAAACTCGTGTTGAAAACACCGTAGAAAACACAAAAACTGAAGCTCCGCCATTTTTTCTCATAACCCTCGACTTTGTTGTTTGAAATATTTTACAAAATTCTTGATTTATTCAAGAAGTTTTATTGTAAAAAATAAGAGAGAACAGAAGTTTTGAGTGTTAAGCACACAAATCAGCAATTTATTTAACTTAACTAGGCTTCAATTCGTAATTTTTTGGGATTTTTCGTGTCTGGTATTTGACATTGTTTGCCCTGTGGAGAAGTAAACACAACACGATCATCAGTGGTACATTATTCAGAATTTAGCTAAATTCAAGGCATATTGTGCCCCATTTGAAGAAATATTTTTTATTAAATTGCCCACTCTTCCAATTTTCAGACTTAAATTATAAAATATTTTAATAATTTACGCTATTTCACCAAATATGGAAATTCTCTTCGGACATATGTATGATTGATTTGATGATTGAAAACTAGTAATTTTCAGTAAATTTTAATTCTTTCAATATAATAAGTTATTCTTTGTAAGATTTTAAAGTCAATCGATTTGTAAATTAATTGTTGATATAGGTTTTACTTCATTCCGAAAAAAATATCGTAAATTCGATCTCGTTGAACATAATGTTTTTGGCACTTTGCTATGATTGTTTTCAATTCAAGTCACCAAGTTGAACTACGAGAAAAAGCAATGGAATTCATCAACATAAGTTTAAAACTGTATTGATGTAAAAACTATGAAGATATATTTATCACACATCAGATTATATATGTACATTTTTAAAGATGTGAAGTGCGTACTTGTAAAGTGCGAAATTATATTGACTTTATACACTGCAGACATTATGAATTCATAACAAATGGTTTCTAAGTATAGGGTAGTTTTTCTCACTCGGACGTTAATTTTCTGAATCTGCATCAGAAAAAAAGTGATCTAGGTACATATATGACCCCCGACATCATTGTAAAAGCATTGATTTTAACTGAATGCAATTTCAATAATTTAAAATGGGTATTATATATCCCCCGCCCTTCTTAATTTATTGTGATATATTTCCTCATTATTTTTTTTTTGAAGTAATTTATTTGTATCCGTCATTTTCATAAATGGAATTATTTTGTGCAGCATCTTCTAGAAATAAGCATACGTGTTGCCGTCTAATTTATAAAGATACCAGTATTCAGATGATTTATTGAGTAATACTTCTCAGTTTAGCAGCTAAAATTACTATGTCTTGTTGTATCCAATAATTATGTTCCCCAAACGAAGTTGGGGAACATATTGTTTTTACTCTGTTTCTTATTATGTTCCCCAAACGAAGTTGGGGAACATATTGTTTTTACTCTGTTTCTTATTATTATTATTCTTATTATTTTTCTTCCTGGGAAAATTTTGTCCGCGAGTGATCTTGTAAACTACACATCCGATCTGGGTGAAACCTTTTTATGGTTAGTAGGCATGTTATGTAGATTTGCGGAATCAAGGTCATTTTGCGCGCACGTGCTTGCAAGAGCGCGCACGTGCAAAACTTAAAATGACCAACATAAAATGGATATAACCGTAACTTTTCTATTTTGTAACGAAATGTTTTGAAACTTATAATGTGAGGATATATTAGTAGTATGCACACAAGCTGACATGGTCAAAATAGCAAGATCGCACGTGCATGCACGTGCGCTTCGCTCTGATTGGCTGAAACTAAAATCTCAATATCTTTTTTGTTTTTTGATAAAATCATTTGA